CATCTTATTTCTTAGATCTATCTTCTTTTTGTTTTTTCTTTTTTTCGTCTTGTACACATTTACATACATCTGTATAACCAATCAATAATAAATAAATAAAAAATAGAGAAAAAAAAGAGAAAAGAAATTCATTTAAAAAATTCCATCAATATATCTTGCTAGCTTCTATTGGCCTTGAGCATATTCTAGATACGTTTAAATATGAAATATATAATATTGTATTTATTTATTTATTTATTAACATTTTATACTAAAACAGTAAGTCATGAAAAAATAATTATTTTAATTTTTGACATCAATGCTTGCATCATATTAAATAAAAAGAAGAGAAAAAAAAAGCATGGACACGTGTATCATAAAGGACTTGTAGTTAAAATATGATTTTAGAGGACACCTGTTCTATGTCTAATTTCTGTTTGATCGTTCGCGATTGTTTTTTATCGCCGTTTTTTTCTTTCAAAGAGTATGCGTAACAAGTCATGCGTTTCAGAGGATCGTATGTGATTTATAATGTTGACTATCGAACGAAAAGATACATATTTCGTTTAATTTTAACATATGAGAATAATCATTAAGTTTTTTATTTAAATTATTTAATGGCATTTAATGTATCGTCGCAGTCGTCGTATATTCTATAGTAGTATTTTTCGATTAAATTTATATCGAGTCTTACGAAATTGTTTTATTTTAATAATTTTTTCATGTGTATTTGCACAATATTTATTTATAAAATTATTCAATGAAAATCATATTTCAGCACCGAATTCTACTCGTCTATATAAAAGTTTACCATTAACAATAAATCTTCGTCCATTTCATGTTTGTCATCCAAAAGAACTACATTTAGAAAATTTAACATTACAATATCATCATAGATATCCTGATAAACAAAAACAAGTATGCTTTCTTGTTCAACATCTCGGTGGTGGACCATGGTTGTCATATGTAACACATGAATTTGCTGAAATTCTTACTTATTTACAACAAATTGGTCTTAAATCCAATATAATATATCGACCATTTCCTAAACTAGTATATAGAGGTCGTAGAACAAATTTAATAAAATATTTTTTAAATGCTTGTGATATGGATGAAAATCTTTCAATAGAAAATCAAATGCCAATAATAGTTCTTCTTTGGGATATAAATCGTCCTCCATGGTATCAATTACGTCAACAAGTGGAATATTTGTTAAACAAAACTCGAATACGTCTAATGGCATTTGTAGATGATCTTCATTTTCTAAGCAGAGGAATGTGGCTTAGTAGAGAATATCTTTTTCAATCTGTTGCAGCAGAAATTTTTTCAACATATCCATATCTTTTTGATAATTATTATACTAATATATCATCAAAAAAAATTACTTGGTTACCACATGCAGCTTCAACATTATCACAGGTTTCATTAAATAAATCTGCTAAAAATGTTCTTTTTGTCTCAGGTGCAAATCTTGTGGAATGGTATCCATGTCGTGCTCGTGCATTTCAACTGTGTAATACTCGAAAAGATTTAGTATCTTGTTTAGAACATCCTGGTTATGGTATAACAATGAAAAAGGATAATTCATATTATTATGGTGGTGAAAGATATTTTTCATATATGAGACAATATGTATTCGGTCTTGGTACATGTCAATCAGTTCATTATGCTATAGCAAAATTATTTGAAATACCAGCTAATGGTCTTGCACTTGTAACAACAAATGATTTAGTAGATATACTTAAAAGTCTTTATCTTTATCCTAATCAACATTTTTTAACAATTGATTGTTCATCATCAAAAAATTTAACTAATGAATTAATTCGTATACAAAATATATCAAAAGAAATGATATATCAAATAAGAAAAAATAGTCAAAAAATAATTCATGAACGTCATTTAACAAAACATCGAGCTGCATTATTACATGTTCGTTTATTATCTCAAGCATTAATTGCTTCTTCAACTTCTGATGCTGAACGCATGCAATGGGAACAATGGGGACGTAATTGTCATTAGTTATCGAATATAGGAAAAATAAAAATGAAAAAAAAAAGGAATAGATGTCTGTTTTTCTTCTATTGTTTACATGAATAGATTCGACTTTCAGTTATTTCTTTTTTCTTTCATTTGTTTTTATCTTTTATGAAGGCATCATGTTTACATAAAGGAATGAAAGAATAGCTAACGAATTATAGATAGTGATGGCATAGAAGTAAAAGTAGGAGAGAGTATTTTCGAATTAAAAGGAGAACGATTCAATACAAAATCATTTAATACGTAAGACTAGAAAAATCTCTAGTGCAAATATCTAACATAGAAATGGATTACACTAACTCAATCTCCGTATGATGTTTCTAGCAGCGTCATCTATATCCTCTCCTTCTTCTAGTTGTCTTTAAGATACCACTAATGCAAAACTCGAGCGAGTGTTTTTCTCTTTCATTCATATATATATTGTTTTAATGCAGCTTGACGAAATGGTTACGCATATATACTTTTTATTTAGATTGGACCACTATTCGACTCAAAAAAACCATAAAAAACTTCGAATGACTGGTAATGTATTGAAAATTATGAATATGTTTTTTTTTTCTTGTTTTACAGAAATCGTCAAATTGCAATTACAATGTCTTTTAAAACTTTATGAAAACATTTTTTATTTTGATTTAACATTAAAAACTAAGTAGCAATGTATTATTTGATTATATTTAGAGGTAATAAGCTTAAAACAGTTCCATTCAATATAGATAACTGAAACATGCCTCATAACATCTATTTGTGAATATTCTTGTAAATCTATCTAATATTTTGTAACAAGAGATAGAAGAAGGTGTCTTATTTCATTAGAATCGTTAGCTACAAAAATATCTATTTAGTTTTTTTATATTTTGATTAATTGTTGAGAAAATTACATTATTTTTCTCATTTAATATTAATATTAGATAAAAGAACAAAAAATGCGTTTGTATTTAGTGATTTTTATTGTCCTACTCTAGTTAAAAAGCAAAATAGATAACATATTCAGAATTGGCGTCACGAACTGCATCGAATTAAATATATTTTAACAATGTTTTTTTTTTCTGCAAACAACTGACCCTTGGAGGACTAGGAGCGAAGTTTCTGAAAAATAGACTTGAGAGAGATCACAGGTATATTTTCTATCGGTAACAGTTTTTACTAAAATATACATAATTCAAAGCAGTTTCTGACGTTAATTCTGAATATTCTATCTATTTCGTGTTGTAACTAGACCATGAGAATAGAAATCACTAAATACAAATACATTTTTCATTCTTTTGTCTAATATTACTATCAAATGAGAAAAAAATTCAATTTTCTCAACAATTAATCAAAATATAAAAAAAACTAAATAGATATTTTTTGTAGCTGGCGGTTCTAATCAAATAAGATACTTTCTTCGATCTTTTGTTACAAAATACTAGATAGATTTACAAGAATATTCACAAATAGATGTTATGAGGCATGTTCCAGTTATCCATATTGAATGGGACTGTTTTAAGCTTATTACCTCTAAATATAATCAAATAATACTTTGCTACTTAGTTTTTAATGCTGAATAAAAATAAAATGTTTAGACAATGTAATTGCAATTTGACGATTTTTGTAAAACAAGAAAAAAAACATGTTCATAATTTCCAATACATTATCAGTAATTCGAACTTTTTTATGATTTTTTCGGTCAAAAAGTGGTCCAATCGAAATTCGTTACTCTCGAACACTTTTATATTGATAGCTTGAGTTCTGAAATGATAAGTTAAATCATGCGGTCTAACCTATTAAAATATAGACAAAATGTTGCTGTACAAAATGAGACGTCCCCAAGCTCTGTGCTTCAATTATTCTAATTTTGATTTGCATTATAAAAAAAAATGTCTCTGCCAAGCCGATGTTCAGTTTGTAAAGTTCTCATAAAAATCAAAAGAGTTGTTGCACAGAGTTTGGATACACCTCATCTGAAAGAGTAACGTTTTCTCCATCTTTTGATAGTCTAACTTGCATGATTTAACCATTTATTTCATGAGTGAAACTGTTGATATAAAATGCTCGAGTATAATGCAAAAAAAAGCTCGATACATGCCTATGCGTAACCAGTTCGTCAAGCTCTATCGAACCGTATATTGATGCAAGAGAACAAAATGTACTCATATTTTGTATTCTAACAGTGCATTACATTTATTTATGTTTGATGATTTATTATTTTTTTTCTTTAGCTTCTATCGAGCTGATTTACTTTGATTATAAGTATTTATTTTTTTATTTGTTAGTTGGCAGATTTGATTCAGTGTTTCCACGCTGTATCCAACATACATGTCTTCACTTCTTGATTTAATCTACTGCGTTCCTCAAACTTTTTTATTCCTCTTATCTAATATATTCAGTTTAATATATTAATGAATCTTTATTTAATTTTATCATTTTTCATTTTACTGTAGTAACCGAAATAGTATTAAGTTGTATTTGATCTTTTCCCTTCGAGATCAAACTATTTCTCATTAAAATATTCCTTAATCAAACTGATTTATCATCGTATGATTTGTCCTAATTTTCGATGACAAAATCATAAATATGTGATATATATATATATATATAATTATTTAATAATAATAGACTGAATGACATATTTGCACATCATATAAGAGAAAAGTGACTCATACAATCGATTGTGCTTAATACAAAAGATTTCTTTCGTTTTACAATAAGAATGTACTTTCTTCAACGGGGCAATGATAGGAGTGTCATGCCTACTACACGTATGCCTTACTTTTTACTAGTAGAAAAGAAAAAAAAATCATTCTACAAATGTATATTAAGACAATGCAATTTGATAAAAACCAATAAATTTTGAATGTATTCTTCATCTATTCATAATAGACAAATGTATGATGATTTTTTTTTGAATAGTAATATTTTCTTTCATTAATTATACACAATTTAGAAGACATCAAACAAATAGAATTCTTTGTAAGTTTCTTTACATTTAATAGAATCAAAAATAGATGAGTATATCATTAAAATTACAATTAATAGGTAATATATTACCTTGGTGATATCTTCTTTTTATTTACGTTTGAATTTTGACGATTGTACATTGGCAGTTACAATATTGTACATGTCGAATATAGTCTATAACTACATTAATCAATAAAATTGTTGTCATACATGCAAATATGAGAAGTAATTATTAATTTATTTAATAATTGAATATCATTTATTGAAGATATGCTTATGACATACTACAAACTCATATTTTAGTCAATCATAAAAATATAAGGTAGAGCAAAGAGAAACTAATGAATAAATAATTATATATATAACCGTTAGAAAATGTTTAAGAATTTTTTTTTTTTGTAATTCAAAAGTGTTAATTGTTATTTCGAGCTTTTGATTTCTATTTATATCATCATCAGAAAATAATAATTACAAAAGAAAAGAGAAAACTATCACACATTTATATATATATATACAGTAGGGTACGAAAAAAATTGCCTTTTTTGACATATACATTCGATCGATGTGTGTTGCCTAAGTTTCACGAGTTATTACTTTGAAATTATTTCTAAACGCTCTCAAATATCTCTATACATCTAGTGACACTGACACATCTTCATAATCTTGTTGAGTTTCATGAAAATGACGTGTCGTTCAAATGTTGACCGTCGATTAGTAATTTTATACTACTGAAGTAATGTTTATTGTAGTATTGATGGAATTCGGAAGACCTCTGTTCGTACTATCTAATATCAAATTTGTTAAGATTCAAGAACAAAACATTGTGGAGCATCAGGATGAGCACAGTAATGTTCGAGCAGCATCTGAACGAAATTGTCACATAGCTATCAAGTAGTATAGACTTCAAGTCAGTTGAAAACTTGTAATCAATAGTCGAGTGATTTGTTTAGGGAAGAAGATTATTAAATCTTGATAGATAGAAGTGTTTCTTAAACAAACAACGAGATAGAATTGATGTGTAAACTTTAAGTTGTTCAATAATTTGTAACACAGTCAGATTTTTCGATTTTTTTGATGTGAAGAAAAAGATCGAGAGCTTGTATTAGTTACTCTATTAGTTATAGATTATAGTACAAATATAATTTATCAACTAGAACGATATCCATATCCATTGCTTCTAGCAATATAAATATTGTAAAAAGTAAGACCAATACGTTCTTTTCACTTCTACATATATATTTAGATATACTTGATTTGTTTCACAAGGTAATTCGTTGGAACAAAAAAGAGAAAGAAAGAATGTATATATTCACATTTTCTTCTATTTCAAGTGCATTTACCCCCTTACTCGAAAGTACGATTGTCTACCGTTATAAAGGATAATTATACTTCGTACATAATCATAAACCATAAAAGAATAGGACAAAAAAAAATATGATTATCGTATTGCAGGTAACATGCACATGATAGTCATATTGTTCTATCAAGGATTTTTAAGAAATCAACAACTACATAGTTATGTAGCTGTTCTCACTTTTTCTTTTTGTTATCAATATTGTTTGTTAATGATGATGATGCTAGTATATACTAAAATCTCGAAATAAAAGTAAAGATCTTTGGATTTAAAAACATAATTCTCATGTATTTTCTTGCAGGTTGATCTATACAATTATTTATTCATATTTTAGTATTTGAAATTTTTAATGAGTGTATTTTTTTTCGTTTAATTCAAATCGTATTTAGAAATCACTGATAATTATGTCAATGATAATTATTCTGTTTTTTTGTTTTTTTTTAGTTTTCATGATCGATCATTTATACAGTGAAGATATATGATGGAATAATAACGAATTTTTATTTCATTTAGTAAGTAATAAATTTTTATAGAATGATATTAGTTGATTTATAATAGACAAATTTTTCTATGTCGTTTTCGAAAATCAAGAAGTTTTTATCATCGATTGAATATATTGTCCAACGAGGAAAAGTCTATTTTCATTATGTGTTAAAGAACATAATAATTCGTTTATTGTCAACCATAGTTAAAACTACTGGGTTTTTTTTCTTTATATGATTATAGCAAATCATCAATAAATTTAAATATTATTTTATCAATAAATCTATTTCCAATTTGTTTGTTAATGTCAACATCTATTTATCATGACGTTCGTCAATATCCGTAAACGCTATATGTTTGTTTAATCTATAGAAACAATCATTACTTTTTAGGGAGAGATTTTTAGGCTTAACTTGGAGTATCTCGTCTTCATTGTCTATGTATTTTAACTGAAAGTTGATGACCTGTTAGTAAACATTTTTTTTTCTTTTTTCTTCTAGTATTTTACTACAATACAAGTATGAGTCCACTGCCCCTAATTGCTGAAGATAGCTGGCTCATTCGATTAATTACTAATCATATTGGCTATTTTTCACTTGCTATTCCAATTGCTATTCTTTTTCTCATTTCAAAAAAAACTGTTCATCAAAAATGTAAGTATTGATTATACAGATGTTTAGAGTTAAAGTAGAAATACTAAAAATTTATAATAAAAAAATTAAAAACTCATCTTACCGAAAGACAAAATTGGTTGTCTTGCACAACTATTTGATACGATGTGCTAATAAAATAATATTGTTTTAAGTAAAATGCCAGAAATAGTGTTTGGAAGCAGTGTAATAACAGATTGCAGACATTGAGGAAATAAAAAAAAAATATATTTTCTCTTCTAACAAAATACAAATGATGCATCTTATTATTTTGAAATGATTTTTGCAAAATTTCAGACATAAACAGAAAGAATCGTTGGAGAAAATTTCAATATTTTTTCTTTAAATCCTTTGAAAGATTATATTGATCAAATGTTTTGTAGTAGAATCACTTTAATCTAAAAATAGTCTAGCATTTTATCTATATTAGCTAGTAATGCTTTTATTGAGAGTAGGTCAAAACACAGAAATTTGAATGAAACATAGCTCGTCAATACTTTAAACTCATCAAAGCTTATAATTACTTTTAAAATCAATAGTGATCCTTCGAAATGAAATTTGTCATAAATACGCTCAATAATATATTAGCTAATAGGAGTTT